GTCACAAGTTAAATATTTAGCTTATTAACTAAATATTTAATTTGTAAGTTAAATATTTAGTTTATAAACTATGACATTTATAAATGTATGAATCATGTGGTAAAAAACAGACCTAGAAAAATATATCTGTTCTTTTTTTCTTATAAAAGGCTAAATAAAACAAAAATATTGGTGGTAATTTTCGACTGTAACTTTACAAACGGTACCCCACAGTTAACGGAGCGATCTGATGACTCACCTTCCTCTTGGCAGTCTTGGTCACGGAGGTCGTGACCACCACAAAGCCCCACAGCACATAGAGCCTGAGGGAGGAAGAACAAAAAAAAGACGATTTAAAAACAAACAGCTTTCTGAATGAGGTTCTTTATGAAGCTTATGATTATTCCATGACCTAAACATGAACATACGGTAAAATCATGTTAAAACTCACAGAGGCCTCCATTATTCTCTGTCAGAGGTGCTGGGTTAACACCCCGTCACGTGTTCCAGTGACCTAAGTTTATTTCAGGAACTCATTCTGACACTTGTTTCCCTCTAAAGGTGGTGTTTGGGCTGTGAGAGGTTAGTGAACAAAAGTTTCTTGTTTTTCCCTCCATGAAGGCACAAAAATCCCCCAATCAGTCTGAGGAGTCCAAGGAGACGCGAACAAACAGATGGGTTTAAGCAGCAGGCCCATGCACACGCTGAGGACACACACACACTCACAACCACGCTCGCTGTCTGCTGTTTATATGCTTTGGGTTTTATATTCAAGTGAGCTGCGATGGAAACGAACTATGCTGATTATTAATTCCATTCGGTGGTTATTCTGTTTAAAAAGTTTTTTCTCCACAATCACAGTTCAAGTTTGGGATTTTTGAAAACTTTACCACAAAATGTTCAACTGAGTGATGACATCACTCTGACTTTTAGACTATTTTTTCGCCAAAAGTTGTAAAAACAAACCTTTTTTTTAAATTCCTGCAAACCTTCAGAGGTGTAAAGTTACAAGGTACAAATACTTTTTAGAAGTGTGGTTGTGTAAACTTTACTGGAGTCATGACTTTACTTTTACTCCTTACATTTTAAAAATAGTTTCATTCCTCTTGTTTCATTCTGGATGGTAATCTGCCCAGATATATGGTGCCTTTTTGATAGAGTGAGTTTAAATGTGATTTGATGAGAAGTACAAATGGCGGCCCCGGGGCCACATCCGGTCCGTGAGTGACCAAAGGTGACAGGGTTCTGTTGTATCCATGATTAAATGCAGCAAAATAAACTCTTTCAAAGGTAACAGATCTTTGTAATACTTGGTTTATTTACATAATGATTTAATTGCTGGATGTTCGGCCCCTCAGCTGTTGGTGCCCCCCCCCCCCCCCCGAGTGATTTAGTTGAATAGTCCTGATCTATTGAAGTGTACGATCCATCACACCTGTATGACACAAATCACATTTCAGACATGTAGCCTCGTATGAAGACTAGTGTGGCAGAGATATAAACTCAGCACATAAAGTAACAGAACACCTGGTTGTCAGCACCTGGAGCAACCAGAAGCTCAAAACAAGCAGAATCTTCTCATGTCATTTTCTCTGCTGCTCATCCCCAAGATGCATGTTCCTTTTGTGGCACCATTTAAAAGGGAAAATAACAGGGATGAGTTATGTTATAAGATTTATTACCTCCCAGTAAATGTCATTTTGGAAATCATAACATCAGCACTCATTAATTTTACTTTTAATACTCAAATACACTTTATGTCAGAAATTTAAGTACAATAAATAAGATGCTGTAATATTCTTAGAGGAGAATAACTTTTAATGAAGTAATTTTATAAGATACTTGTACAAGCATCACTAAGATACTGTACACACAGTGTTGTATAAAGTACCTCAAAGTGATACTTGAGTAAAAGTACAAGTATTTTATCATAAAAATACTTTGGTAAAAGTTAAAGTCTTCTCTAAAAATATTACTTGAGTAAAAGTCTTAAAGTATCTGAATTCTTTTGTACTTAAGTATCAAAAGTAAGTTTCTGACACAAAATCCACTTAAGTATTAAAAGTAAAAGTACTGAGTAAAAGTGAGCAGTTAGATTTTACAAAATGACATTTATTGGGAGGTGACTTCTCCAAAAAATATTTTTTCTAATAACAGCGTGCAGCTGTGATGGGTTGTGTTCTATGGAGGTAAATTTGTGTTTTTATTATTCAATCAAACAAAAAGCATCTTCAATCAAAAAAAATAATTTTAATCAAAAATATTTTTTTCAACCAAACAAAAAATAAATTCAATCAAAAAATAATAATTTA